GCAACAACCTCTCAAACGACTAGGTTCCTATCGGGGAAGAGGTCAACACCAATTAACACAGTGAAGGATGACAATGAAAAGTCAACTACCAATGAGATGGAGCAAAGGAAACACTGAGCTGAACACTTCAAAAGACTTCTAAATCAACCGCCACCAACAACGCGCCCAACAATACCAACAGCAGAAGCAGAACTACCAGTGGATACCGACCCTAAGACGAAAGCACATATCTTGAAAGTAATCAAAATGATAAAAACTGGAAAAGCAGAAGGATCAGATGAAATCTCAGTAGAAGCACTCAAAATGGACCCAGAAACATCGGTGGACTTGATGTCACCACTACTGGAGAAGGTGTGGAAACAGGGCACGGTACCTGCAGATTGGAAGAAAGGCTACTTATTCAAACTGCCAAAGTAAGGAGACTTAAGTCAATGTAAAAACTGGCGCCGAATTATGCTCCTGTCTATCCTAAGCAAAATACTAAGCCGCATCATCCTGGAAAGAATCAAACACGCCCTGGATGAAAAGCTTAGACTGAACAGGCTGGATTCAGGAGAAACAAGTCATGCATCGATCAAATCGCAACACTACGGATCGTCATTAAACAGAGCTTGGAATGGCAGTCACTTCTCCACCTCAACTTTGAATGCAATGGAGACGTGTGGCTGAAGCCCCATGTTCCTCTAGGAACTAAGGGAAACACAAATAACAATAAAGCCAGAGAAGAATAGTATTGTAATAAAAATTGGTGCTATCATCTATTTACTGATGTCTATGGTACTTTGATCTTTAGCTATTTATATTTTAATCAATTTGTGACTCATATTAACATCGACCAATATTATCACCCTTCAGCATTTCGATTCATTTTCAAAACTACGATATACACAACAACCATACATGGCTTTTATCGATTCTAATCCATATACATACTATGATACGGTAATGAACTTGAAATCATCTCAAAGAGAAGTATCTTCAATGAAATCTTTGTTTCACTTTACAGAATTTATTGACCGCTTCGGAAATCATGGTAACAAGTGTCACGTGAGAATCTCAGTGGAAACACACCATCACTAAATAGGAGGATGCAGATACCTCCAGTTGACAAGCTGGTAAGGAGAAACTTCATAACCACCCACTATTAGCCATTATATCTGTCTGTTTTCAACATAGAACTTTGCACCGATGTACTGCAGTTCAAATCGCCAAACTCCATGTAACACACAAAGCAACAAAAAGAAATGCATAATAGAGACAGTACACAGAGGCGTGAGACAAAGGAATAGTAACAACGAAGAATGATATAGTTCCATTGGAAATCATAAGTCACAGGGAGTGGATGCATCTGCGCTAGCCACTGATGTGACACCATTCTTCAAACCCTTAAGTAGAACTTGAATAGCAATAGACATATTGAGCATCCAAGGATGATATGAGGGAGATCATATGAAGAAGGGATTAGATTTTGTGGGCAATTATGAAGCCAGTTTAAAAGGGCAGTAGAGGACAGAGTGATGCGGAGATGTGTTACTGAAGTCCTTCATCCCACTCGGAAACCCAGGGATGAATGAATAGCAATATATATATATATATATATATATATATATATATATATATATATATATATATAAGTTACTGTTCTTTCTGTGTGGCAACGTGATCCTTGCACTTCTGTGCGGAGTTCCATGTTAAACCTCGGTCAGATGAGTCAGTGGATAACAATACTCATTCTAGTTCCCATTAATTTTAGTTTACTTTTATATTCCATCTTGTAATGCAATGTCTCAACTTTCAACTGATAGATGTCTGCCTCATTATTGTATACATTTCCAAAAGCATAACCTCATGTTCACATTTCCCTCCTCCAAAAAGAAACATTTGAGTGAACCTGCCGATGTTTGAGACCCAGACTACGTGTGCGTTGTTTGGTGATCATTCTACAACTGAGCCACCGACATCAATACAAATACATTAAATATTATTATTCAAACTAGATTCTCCCCCATCTCGCGAAAATTACATTATATCAGGTATTATCTTCCTTCGTAAATTACTTAAGGTATTTATCAAGTATAACAACCGAGTGTGATTGATTACGCAAACTTTTACTTGACTACTTCTTGCCTTAGCCGGAGAAAAGAGAAATGTACGAAAAAATTAGAAAAATGATACGGTGGATACAACAAAATATGACCCAGGTGAAAAGAAAAAACATCGATTTAATAAATAAAAAAGTTGAGGTTTATATGATGTTAAGTGCTGTCTGCTTAAAGATGCCCATTAGAAATTCTAAAAGACAGATTGGCGTGCAATGAAATTTTCTCTCGATCATCTTGATAAAGCACACAGCGTTGTTATACAGTAATATTAGCTGATGACCACGTATCGAGCACAAATTATTGCCACTCATAATCATATCAAGTCACTACTCACACAACTTTCTAACTTCATTTATATACATGTGTGGAATTGACTAGATATTTAAATAAAAACCAATATAGGGTAATGTGCATTCAGAAATACTAATACGAGTGTTTACAAAGTACTTTGCGATGACTGTGAGGTCAGCTACATAGATCAACATAGGACAATGTACATTCAGAAATAATAATAATACGAGTGTTATTGACCAATTACAATCAAATGGGAAATAAGACGAGTGTTTTTATAGTCAAAATAAGTAACTTGTTAGAATATTGTGATATGCTTGAATTGAAATAGAATTTTAAGATTATTTATTATCCCCCTCTGATTTGACTGACTGGCGGTAATAATATCTTCCATATTTCTGGTATTTGCCTTGAGTCATTTCTGTTCCATGTGTTGTGCTGGGTGTAGACTCAGTGAACCAGGATTCAGTGATCAATCTCTCTCGCTCTCGACCAACATAGATTACTTCTTAGAATCTTAACACTCTCCCACCCACCCTATTGTGTGGTTTTCTGTTAATGTATGTAGTGCAATTGCTCAGCTTTTTTCTAAATTACTTATCTTCTCTGAGTCAACCATTCTTACCGTAGCCAAATTCTTATGTTCTGACAATCTCATTACCGCTGATCTACTAGTTTGGCCTATATAGTTGTCAATTATATTATTTTGTTTAATTGGATCCACCACTTCTTTTAGCCTACAGAGCTTGTCTCTGAATGAGTTTGTAGGTTTGAATGACACCCTAATTCCTGCTTTATTGAGAATCCTATGTAGCGTCCCAGATGTCCCCTCTTTATATGGTATAACAGTAGATGACTTATATTCTCTCTTATTTATGTTATCATTACTAGTTTCACAATTATTTTTAATTTGCTTTTGGCCTTGTTCAATCTTCCTAGAGAATTTTATAGGATAGTTATTTAACACTAACGCCTCTTCTATCTGTTTCATTTCATCATTTATGTCTTTTCTTGTGCTACTTAGTGCCAATGTTTGATTTGTTAGACAAATAACTAAGCCCGTCTTAATAGTTAACAGATGAGATGAATTAAAGTCTAAATGTTGGTTTGTAGGGATTTGATTGGTTTCAGGATTTCATCATGAGCTGACATTAGTTAGAGAACCATTGGAAAACCTGGGAGTACTGGACAGCTGTTTCGTCCTAGTTTGGGACTCTTCATCAGTACGCATCCACCATTAGGGTTCGAACCCAGTACCTTCTGGTTACAATGCGAGCTCGTATACCATTAAGCCACTGGGACCCGATCCAATGGTCCTTGAATTCTAACTTCTGCCAATTCACGACATAGCGCGACCGCTAGCCAATGTCTTCGGCGAGTATTTGTCCTCACACCCGACCAGCTGCACCCTACTGGTCACGACTTCCTACTGGAACCCAGGTAACTACCTACCTGAATAGGGCCAGTCGCCAGTGAGCATCCCACTTAAAGTCTAAATATCTATTAGAATGCATCGGTTTTCTATAAACGCTAGTGTGCAGTTTACCTTTTTCTATTTGTTTTATTTTACAATCTAACATAGCTAATTCTCCTTGTTTATTTTCCGCTTCAAATGTGAATTTTATTCCCTCTACTAGTGAGTTAATGTGTCAGGAAGCTAGAGATATGTTCTGTTTTCAACACTGTGAAAAGTGTCATCCACATATCTCCACAACACTTTTGGAGTAGGATTAAATGTATTCAGAGCAATATTTTCCAAACATGTATATCAATGAAGGAAAAAGTTGTGTGAGTAGCTTGATATGATTATGAATGACAATAATTCGTGCTTGAAACGCCATCAGTTAATATCACTGTACAACACGGTGTGATTTTATCTAACTAAAATCTTATCCATAATGGAGTTGTACTCTAGCACAATGCCCAAGTTTTATTCTTATATCAATATTTCTCTGGATTATTTCCTATTCATCAAGTTCTACAGTCACGTCTATAATAGTTAGACAATGATTGTTATTCACAACATTAACGTCTTAAATAACAGTGAATCAATTAGATCAACGGATTACAGTTCAAAACAATCTGTATAAACGATAATACGCATCAATATACCACTAAACTAAATATCAGATAAATCAAGAACAATAATAGAGACTTTCTAGGTTATGGTTATTTTAAGCGAATTCCACTGGCTTCTCCTATTCCCAACATTCGGTATCTACAAGTCTTTGACAATTTATTTTGATACCCGATTATTAGTAGAAAAACACCCTTCAACGCTGGCTTCACGACCTGTTTCAATCAGGAGGTTTAGCATCGAACTATTGACGGTTTTTACTACACCTTTTTTATTTAGCTACACTGGTTGAAGGTAAGTAGGTATTCCCGAACACAAAATAACTAACTTCCTAAGGAAATGGCGTATATATAACTGTCTCCATAGGAGCAGTTGAATCAATAAATAAAAGCAGAGGTTAGGCTAGTTAACTAACGCAAAGAATATTCTATGTTCACTAACTAACTAATCAATCAGTCTGTTAAATACATCTGCGCCAAGTATGACCCACTTGTTTTCTCAGTTATATCATTAAAGAACTAGATAATAATAATTATTATAATAAAAGTATATTTACAGAATATATTTTCAAAAACATACACACAGAAAGAGATGAATATCTATCAGATTAAAGTAATAAAATACTTCTTTGAATACGTTTCAGAAATAGTTGTCTCCGATACATATATATATATCGCTTGAAAGATTACACACGATGGATCATATTATACTACTACTATTACCACCACCACCCTCCACTCAACTTTCTTTAATAAAAAAAACAATCAAGGGGGTGGGTGGAGGTGTACAGGGAATCAGGGGCGGGGCGAAAGTGGGAAAAAAGGCGAAAATCATGATTTCTTTGTACATAAAAATAAAATGACAAAAATTAAAGCAGAAGATAACAATAACAATAAATACAGTTGTCAAGATGAAAAAAGAAACCCGATGAAGGCTGAGAAGGAGGGCAAAGGTAGATATATAACTTTCTTTGGCTATAATAAATCACCAAAATGAAAATTACCATTATTAATAAACAAACAAAAAAGTATGTACCTCAGAGAAGAAATAATGTTGGCTATTTTATCAAAACAAAAAACAAAACAAGAAAGAGACCAGTATGACTGAACACATACCATGAAGAAATGTGTGTTAATTACTGTGCTGTCCTACCGTCCTTATCACTAATATGAGATCACTTATTATACTCCATTCATATGCATATAAAGAAAAACGTTTACTTTTACTGATATTCAATTACATTAAATTAAATTGGAATCTGAATTCGACGGAAGTGCATGAGGAGGTTGTAGGTCAGGTAAAGGTCCATCCAACCACTATGCGAATAATAAATAAAAACAAACAATAGTTATAAATAATAATAAAAAATTATGCAACAAGTGTATCACGGTATTTAGTATTTTGTTTTATTTTTTGGAAATATAACTAATCATATAATCATATCGGACACTGAAGAAAATGATGAAATAAACAAAAGTATTATTTTAAATTTGGTCAATGAACTGAAATAAAACTAGAGAACAACTGGAAACCAGGGAGTACAGCTGTTTCGTCCTAGTTTGGGACTCTCCAGTAGTACGCACCCAGGACCTTCTGGCTACAAGGCTAGCGAGGTCGTAAACCATTGAGCCACTGGGCCCAAACCTCGTTGGGTGCGTACTGATGAAGAGTGCCAAACAAGGACGAAACAGCTGACAAGTACTCCCCCAGGTGGTTTTCCAATGGTCCTCTAACTGATGTCAGCTCATGATGACATCCTCCATGCAATCAAACAAAATCCTTAAAAAACCAATATTTTCGTGGTATGCATCCATGATTCCGCTGTAAGGAATCGAACGCAGAACCTTCAAGGTAAGCGGTAAGGTCATTACACTATTTAGTCAGTAAGACGGAATCCAGTGGTAAAGGAGTTCTAAATTATAATGAGAAGGGTCCATCAGCTCAAGTGATGAGAAAAGTACTCGTCTTAGCAGAATATTGTGGTACCATCATTTATTTCGTTGGCTTCTCATCAGCTGCTTACAGCCTAAATAAATTATGAGGTTTAAGTACAGACATGTTTTAACATACTTGCAAATTTTACATGTTGTCAGTTGACAGAAAATTCCACAATTAGTAAACAGTGTTCAGAAGATTGCGCTTATACAGCTTTTACACAGGTAGTTCAAGTTAAAACAAAATAAATGTGTGCATACACTGGTAAAGGAGTTACGTAATAAAGACAAAATATGCGTTAGATACAGAGTGACTAATAAATTAGGTAACAATGTACTGAGTTGAGCTCAAATCATAGAAACAAGAGACCAGCAAAATAACAGGGGGTGAGGTTAAAGACAAAGATTACATAATCGGATAAGAGAATAAAGACATTCAATTACCAAAATGGGCAAGGAAAGACTAATAACTGCTTCTTTCTGAACACATAAATCTGGTTTCAAGCGTTTGATAGAAATTGCTTCGGCAAACTTGAGGAGAATAGAACTCCTTTGTCTATTGATAATTTTGAATTTCATTTCTCTGAAAGTGTGAACCACATGAACGTTGTAAATAAATTCATGGTGTCATTTGATGTAACCTCCCTATTCAAAATGATTCCAATCAATGAAACGATTGAGATCATTTGTCAGCAGTCAGATCTTCTCCCACTCCCAGAATCGGAATTGAAACGCCTACTGCTTATGTGTACCATGGATGTGCAATTCCAATTTGACAACACCTTTTACCGCCAAATAGATGGTGTAGCTATGGGCAGTCCACTTAGCCCTGTTCTAGCAGATATATTCATGTCAAACCTTCAAAGAACAAAGTTGAAACATGCAATCGACGAAACATCTTCCTACTGTCGTTATGTTGATGACACATTTATAGTGTGCAAAATTGAAAGTCATGCTTCCCACTTACTCAGATTATTCAATGGTGCACACGCCAATATTGAGTTCACTATGGAACATGAAAGTGACGGAAAGTTCCACTTCCTCGACATTGCCAGGGAACGCCTAGAAGATGGTAGTCTTCAGAAGTCAATTTATCGAAAGCCTATATGGAAAAGACAATACCTACATTTTAATAGCTTTTGTCCAAATAGCTTTAAACACGGTCTAGTCAAGACTCTGTACTATAGAGCGACGAGAATATGCTCTATGGAGAAATTAGAGGAAGAATTTGAGTTTCTTGAAAAGATATTGAAGAGCAATGGGTACCCTCAAAGGTTGACCAACAAGTATGGAAAGTCTGAAGTCACATATGTAAAACAAATCACAGTGGGAAAAAAGCCAGTCTACTTTCAGCTTGAATATAAAGGTGAAAATATTGCAGCGATGATCAACAGAAGGCTGAGCACATCACTAGCCATAGCCTATCCTGCAGCTAAGCTCGTTCCCGTGTATCGAACAACTTGCTCTTTGGTGCAGTCAAAAATCGATAGATATCCTTCTCATGTTAACTCCAACTGTATATACAAATTTACGTGTATCTGCTTGAGCAGTTACATTGGGAGAACAGAAAGTAGGGCATATCTACGATTTTCTGAACATGTACCAAAGAGCTTACGTCTAAAGGGAACAAACTCTTATAGCAGCGCTATTACCAGACATCTCGACATGGGTCACGAGCTGGAAATCGAGAAATCCTTCAAAATTATCAATAGACAAAGGAGTTCTATTCTCCTCAAGTTTGCCGAAGCAATTTCTGTCAAACGCTTGAAACCAGATTTATGTGTTCAGAAAGAAGCAGTTATTAGTCTTTCCTTGCCCATTTTGGTAATTGAATGTCTTTATTCTCTAATCCGATTATGTAATCTTTGTCTTTAACCTCACCCCCTGTTATTTTGCTGGTCTCTTGTTTCTATGATTTGAGCTCAACTCAGTACATTGTTACCTAATTTATTAGTCACTCTGTATCTAACGCATATTTTGCCTTTATTACGTAACTCCTTTACCAGTGTATGCACACATTTATTTTGTTTTAACTTGAACTACCTGTGTAAAAGCTGTATAAGCGCAATCTTCTGAGCACTGTTTACTAATTGTGGAATTTTCTGTCAACTGACAACATGTAAAATTTGCAAGTATGTTAAAACATGTCTGTACTTAAACCTCATAATTTATTTAGGCTATAAGCAGCTGATGAGAAGCCAACGAAATAAATGATGGTACCACATTATTCTGCTAAAACTGTAGTTCTTGCTTTGTTCAAATTCATTAAGGGAATAAATGTATGAAAGTACTCGTCGATGACATTTAATGGCGGTTGCACTAAAAATCGTCAACTGATAGAAGTCAGGATTCGTGGATGACTGACTGGTATCAGCGTAGAACTTTGCACAGAAGTGCACCAGTCCGATTTGCCACACTTCATGTAGCACACAAAGGAAGATGGAAGAAGAAATGTGCGTGAAGAAGAATAGTAACCTGGAAAGTATGGTTAGGCATGCGCAACACATGTTCTCGCCCTCTCAATTGATTTAGTTTCACAACATCAACGTTTGACTCCCTATCACTTACTTTACACATAATATCAATACTACTCAGGCTATTATACCAACTAATAATGTGAGACAGAGCACAGACACCTTTGGTAGAAAAACAGCTAGACTTTTCATATCTCCTTGGTTCAATGGCCATGCCTCACAGCCATAAAGAGGGACAGAGAGAAATGCTCCGCAGCTAAACACGTCTTTTGGTCGATAGCCGGATATCACCATGGCTGAACGGTCAATGAGTTCTCTTTGTAACCTGGAGGTCCTGGGTTCGACCCCTTCCCTATTGACGTCATCGGTGTGAACTCCTCCAGAGTCGGGGACAAGAAGGGAATAGTTATCCAGAACTCCGTGGTTTTTAATGGTTCTCTTCTAATTGATATCAGTCCGTAACCAAACATGAGACCAATCAAATCCACAAAAAGTAGCACTTGAAAAAATGTACTTATAACATTACAACGAAGTAAAAAAAGCAACTTTCTGACGTCAAAGACCTCGTGAAAGCCGCTTTTTTGATGAATAAAGCTTATGTAGGTTTTATTCTCACGAAAAGACGACTTAGCGTGTAAACACAAAATTACGAAAACGGTGTCTATAAAAAGTGGACCATGAATAATTTCATATTTGCTTACCTCCATGAACAACTTGGTACGACCGAAGGTTGGTAAACTTTGGTTTAACTCTCGTAATCCTCTTATGTGGCCAAAGTTTACAGTCTGTCAGGTAAGTCCTATTTTTACTGTTCTCAAAGTGACAGGGAATGTTGCTCACAAAAGTGAAACAAGTACAAAAGTCTGGTGCTTATAACCGGATTGGTGGATATGCTAGTCTACCTGGAAGAGTTGGAAAACCCTTATTTCAGCTTAACATGTCCTCGTGAGAACATCATCACTCACTGAGAAATGCAGGTACATCCAGCTGACGAGTCCCGAATAGGACGAAATGCGTTTTATCCTGGATTCCACTGCTAGTCACCATCCACCAATTAAATGAAAATTAATGTCCAATTTTTGAAAAATCATAAGGGTTTAATCCAGAACCATAGTTACATAGATTTCAAGTTTAAGTAGGCTAAATATATTATGCATGATCTGAAATTATTAACTACCGCCGACTAACCAGACTGACATTGCTAATGAATTTATGTAATTCTATTCAGTCATTTTAACTCTAAAATAGACATACAACATATAGAAAGCTTAGTAATCAACGGAAATGACAATTAAATTAGCAAAAAGAAATTCTTGAGGCAACTGAATTAACGATTTTTAAAAACCCCACTAAAAATTAGACATTCTGATGGCTTTTCTTTTAAAAAAAGGCTTTTGTTTTCGTCTAGACTAAGTTATTGACCAAAAAAGCTGAACTGAGTTCAACAGATTTTTTATTATGCTTTAAGCAAGACATCGCGCATAACCTTGTGAAAATCAACAGGTGTTGACGATATGGTAGGGATTCCCTTCCGTCTCCCAACTAATATTCGAGTTTAACAACAAGCGCCCTGGTTAAATACCTCTAAAATACTGTTATATAACCGTAATTATCTATCACTGAAACAGTTGAAACAACAGTGGCAACATAGTACACGTATCTGCAGATGGAAGTAAACAACTATGCAGCTTGTTTGTCTGTCTGTTTTCGACATAGAACTTTGCACATATGTGCGGCAGTTCAAGCCGCCACACTCCACTCCATGTAGCATACAAAACAAGAGAAGAAAGTAGAAAAAATGCATAATAGAAACACTAAACGAAGGTGTGAGACAGAGAAATAGTAATAACGAACAACAATATGGTTTCATTGGAAATCATAAGTCACAAGGAGTGGATGCATCTGCACTAGCCATTGAGAACGATTTTGAGCCATGTCACCAATTGTTTCCAGACATTGGTTTTTACCATCCCGAGGACCTCAACCAGACAGTAGTCTACACCTTCCTACGTGGCTGGCTGGCTTGAACTAACTGTTGTGGATTTCATTGACTGGTGAGGTTATGTTTTGGTTTGACCGCCACTAGCTCTTTTCCAGCCTGACCCTATGTCAACTAACGTTGCCCATCCGTTGAGGAAGGCGATGACTAGGCATACGTAACACATGTCCTAATCATCTCAATCGGTGTAGCTTCAATGTCTCGTCGATTGATTTTCCACCTCACTTACCTAGCACTCGACGCCTAACCTCAATATTTCTCACCACGTGACACGGAGATAGAACGCAGTCACCTATGATCAAAGACAGTCAGCCTTTTCATGTCTTTCACTCTCAATGGCCAGGTCTCACGGTCATAAAGGAGGACGGGGCGGACTGCTGAGCAGTACACCCGCCCTTTGGTCGATAGTCGGATATCACGTCTACGCTAGAACGGCGTAAACTGGCATAAGCGAATCTAGTCCTCTGTATCCATGCTGAGATTGCGTCACGGATACTATGCAGCTTAACAGTCACGAATAGTTTTATATATGCTATGCTACTAATAATAACAAAAATAAATTGCGAACCAGTGCTAATAGGTATGCATTGCGACACTGACAAACCTAGAACCATACCTACCTTGAAATTCGGTGGTTGAGATTTCGATAATTCTGTTGACAAGTTGTAATCTGGAAGTTTGTCGGACCGTTCGCGCTTCTTGGTTTCTCTTTCTCCTACCTACATATAGGAAGCTAGTCCTTAGTGATGAGAATTTGTGTGAAAGATGGAAGTATTAGCTACGTCCCTGAAAGGTTGGAAGGTATCCCAGCTCGTTTCAGCTATACCTTCAGTTAGTAATGGGCCGATGTCCATAAACCAGTCTGTTAGATGGATGGTACGTTGATTAAAAATGTAAAGACTCTCGAAACACGAAGCTGAGGATTGTGCAAGCGGGTTGATTAGCCTTCAGTTACAATGTTAAATATTCTACAGCGCAGTAACCCATAGTCAGTTAAAAAGAGGATTTCTTATTAAAACCTAAGTCCGGAAGAAAATTTCAACCATCCACCACCACCATAAAACACCCAGACCAAATAACAATTTAACCCCGGCTCACTTTTAACATACTAAAAAGACAGACAAGTCAAAAGGGCATGGTAAGACGATTGGAAATTTCCGAACTACAAAACACACAGTTTAAAATAACGAAAAAAAAACAACAACAACAAATTGACAAGTAACTTACATAGATGAGTGCATGTTCTGGTGCTGACATTGCACGCATATGTTCATGAATTACAATCTGAGAGAAACGATCATGTTCAGTGAACCAACGAGTTTCTTCTTGTGTATCACCACAGACATTAGCAACACCTTTTAGTAGTGCAGTTGCCCATAATTGAATGCCTATATCTGGTAATTTATTAGCTATATGAATTGCTGCACTTATCATCTTATGACCTTCCTATAAAAAGAGAGATATACATAATTAATTAAAACCGTCAAGCTCAGAGGACACCTCATCATCAAAAGAAAGTAAACTGAGAATAAATGACAGGACTGAAATCAATAATCTCGAGGGCAGAATAATTTTAAAGTTGGTGTACTGTTATCAACTATATGTATTCATTGATATGGCTTTAGAAGCAGTTAAAAAAGAATAAACTAAACACCCTGAACTCACTTATAGGACGAAGCTACCCACTGAAGAAATTATTTTAGGAATTCAGTTATACCTCACATCTACTATCTTTAAGTTTCAAGGCAAAATATATAGACAAACAGAAGGTGTAGCAATGGGATCACCAATATCCCCTATCGTAGCAGACATATTTATGGACAGCTGGGAAAATAGTGCCCTCAATACATTTAACCCTACTCCGAAAATGTGGTGGAGATATGTGGATGACACTTTCACAGTGTTAAAAACAGAACACATCTCTAGCTTCTTGCCACATATAAACTCACAAGTTGAGGGAATAAAATTCACATTTGAAGCGGAAAATAAACAAGGAGAATTAGCTATGTTAGATTGTAAAATAACACAAATAGAAAAAGGTAAACTGCACACTAGTGCGTACAAAACACCAACTCATTCTAATAGATACTTAGACTTTAATTCATCTCATCTGTTAACTATTAAGGCGGGCTTAGTTATGTGTCTAACAAATCAAACATTGGCACTAAGTAGCACAAGAAAAGACATAAATGATGAAATGAAACAGACAGAAGAGGCGTTAGTGTTGAATAACTATCCTTTAAAATTCATAAGGAACATTTAAAAGGTCAAAAGCAAATTAAAAAGAATTGTGAAACTAGTAATGATAACATAAATATGAGAGAATATAAGTCATCTGCTGTTATACCATATAAAGAAGGAACATCTGAGACCCCACTTAGGATTCTTAATAAAGCAGGAATTAGGGTGTCATTCAAACCTACAAAGTCATTCAGAGACAAGCTCTGTAGGCTAAAAGAAGTGGTGGATCCAATTAAACAAAATAATATAATTTACAAAATACCCTGCAATGACTGTAAGTTAAATCAGCTATATAGGTCAAACTAGTAGATCGGGGGTAATGAGATTGTCAGAACATAAGAATTTAGCTGAGGTAAGAACAGTTGACCCCACGAAAATAGGTAATTTAGAAAAAAGCTCAGCAATTGCACTGCATGCATTAACACACAACCATACAATAGGGTGGAAGAGGGTTAAAATCCTAAAAAGTAATCTAGTTAGGTGGAGAGAGGGGTTGATTACTAAATCCTTGTTCATCGAGTCTACACCCAATATGTGGAATAGGAATGACTCATCACTCATATCAGAAATATGGAAAATACTACTACCAATTAAATCAAGTGAAAACAATGGAACTATATAAATGAAGTTAGGAAGTCGTGTGATTACCTTGATATGACTATGAGCAATAAATTGTGCTCGAAACGTCATCAGTAAACATTACTGTATAACACTGTGAGACTTTATCAAAACAAAATTTATCCATAACGGAGTATATGTATTCATCTCTATTAATTACATTGATGTGTGATAAGTGTTGCATTTCACTATCTAACGGAATGCATCAGAAATTTTTTTAAATCCTAGGAGGCATATAAATTGCTTATTTTTGGGATTTACAATATCCAAAATATCGATGACTGCAAATCCCTAGATGATAAGAAAATATTTGTCAAACTTGTAGTAAAAACAAAAAACAATGTAGACAAATATAACATGTCAATGCGTACCCTCGATTCCAACCGACAGCTACTAACTACTTTGACGTAGTGTGGTTGAGCTTGCATATGGGCAATTACCCAACAAGGCACATTGGCAAGAAAAAATGTTCTCGCAGGTCCTATCACGCAAAAAATCTCGTTTGGATGAAGGTTAGAGTGAAAGCAGTTACAATCCTAGCGTAAGTTGCTCACAATCTATAGAGAATCCGCGAGTGAAGTCGTACTGCTGACGAATAAGGATGTAACGACAATCAGGTGTTTATTTCAAATGACGAGCATGCCAGCTAGCTATGCTGCCTATCCAGTCTAAGGCGGGGGGGGGGGGGTAGAAAGACCGACCCCGAAAATTGCACATTTAAATTAACCTTGCGGTTGTCTATAACTGCCAGTAAAAAAAGATCAAATGTGACTTGCATCTAACAGTTGTCCTCTGAGTTCTGCGGCCACGCGGCGGCACTAATGCTCATTCTGAATCAAGCACGCAAGTCAAAGAGAAGTCAACTTCTGAGTTGTGAGCAATCGACAAGCAATAATAACTGCCCACACGCTTCCATAAGCACGCAAGGTTTTTTTTGATGGTCATCATTCACCTTCATCTTCTTGACTGTTGATATACTATTCCCCACAGGTAGATCCCTAACCTCCTCTTAACTTTGCAATTACTCATAGAGACCAGAGCAGAAAAAATCAATAGCAGATAGTCTTTTAAAACCACACACACACACACACACTATCAAACTCATTTGGGAGCATTCAACGCCTCAGGACCCTTGGGCGAATCGGTTTCATTGAGAAAAATATTTTAGTATTATTCCAAACGTTTACCCTACAAAAAAACCTATTAACTTAACCTAATCTATGATGAAATGCAGTGTGAAAACCTTATGCATTTTTATCATATTTTTAAAAGTAAATTTCTCTAAAAAGATGAAAGATAACAACCACCCAGGTATTCAGGCTAATATATTACATACGTCAATCATCATATACTGCCTATAATTAATGCACACATAATTTCACAAACACTTTCACGTTAAAACAATGCTTGGAACCTCAAGAGTAATATACAAGAAGATTAACAGAAATGTATACACACAACCTCCCCCACACACACACACACACTCACACACATACACTGACATACAACCTCATGAGAAAATGTTGGCTACGTCCAAAGATTAGGGTTAACATTTTATCCTATTGTGACAAAAATTAAATGGATGAATAAGTGACAAACATGCATTAGGTTTTTACAATTCATCAAATAGGTTACAAGGACAAATTCAATGTGTTCAATTGTGAAGTATAAACAACAAATAAATATATAGAAAGAAAGAAAGTGAGTCATTTAATAACACAGAAATAGTAAACTAATGCGAAATTGTGAAAAATATAAAAAAAACATTTCAGACCTTCGTTATTGTGACAAAATGATGTGCATTGACCTTATGTAGGGTCGTATGATATATGCATATACATATAAGTAAATTAAGCGCTCCCCCACTGTGGCATTCAAAGAATAAAACCAAAGAAAAAGCGCTATTATTCCCTTGGTTTCTGAGTGAAAAATGATGAATGCGTCAGCAGCATGTCTCCACTTCACTCGGGTATCTCTGCCTTCTTTTTCAGCTGGTTCTCACGTTTGTCGATAATCTCTCACCTCTTCGTCACACGATATCCCTCATATCAGTATCAGATGTCCAACTTGCGGTTCCCATTCATTCGGATTCCGCTCGAGGGCTAAGCTGTCACGGGATGACACTGAACGGTCTTCTCAGCGTGTGTTTAATACAACTTCATTTTCTTCAGTATATTTTTTGGACCAGAAATAAGTTCTTGGATGATTCCTTCCCAGAGTTCCCTGTTGTTTGTCTCCTTTCGGGCCACCTAATATTCAGCATCGAGCGAAGACAAATTATTATGACAATCTGAGGTCTGTTGGAAATGCTTCCCGTGACATGTACACCAAGTCTCTGAACGATATAGAAGCAGTGACTTGACACTACTGTTGAAAATTCAAATCTTGTCCTTACTTAAGATGAGAAATACTCATGACTATAATTACAATTAGACAGAATCTATGCGAATATAGCTTACACATAGTATATATAATAGTTCAACAGATATATAAGGCTGAGAAATGAGTATGCAACTGATAAGCCTATTATTTCAACCAATCATTCCAATCGATGGTTGCTTTGCTCAGCGTCTAGGACTTCTAACTCAGTTGATTACCTGGTCAAAACAAAGCATAACGTTAGTCCATGAAATCTTTGGCACTTGGCCTTAGCCTGCCACTTGGGGAGGGTGCAGGCTATATTGATTAAGGTCCTCGAAAATGTAAGGACTAATAGTTGGAGACTGCTGATAGCATGTATCAAAATCGTTCTCGATTGCATCGATTTATTTGACGTGTATTTGCTATCTCCCAAATTTCTCCATACTACTATTTTTTCTCTTGTCCACACTACTGTTAAATATGCTTACGAGCTCGCCTTGTAACCAGAAGGTCCTGGGTTCAAACCCCGGTGAGTGCGTACCGATGAAGAGTCCCAAACCAGGCTGACGAAACAGCTGTCCAGTACTCCCAGCTAGTTTTCCAATGGTTCTCTAACCAATGTCAGCTCATGATGAAATCCTGTAACCAATCAAACAAATCCCTACAAACCAATACTTGAAAAATTCTGCTTCCTTTGAATTTCTCCTTTTTGTCTCTTTCCCCTACCTTTCTATTGTGTTACATGAAGCGTCACAACTTGAACTGTTGTACTTCTGTGCAAAGTTCTATGTTGAATTAAGTCAATCAGACTGCTTTTCACAGGTGAGTAATCTGGTTCGAGTCTTTCTTCGTTTCATTTGCTTCCCAGTGACTCATTCATCAGCCAACAGTCTAATACCAGAGGTGAACTTATAAATAGTCTTACCAACAAATATAAACATACTGTGAACAATTTTCGCTTGTGTTTTAAAGCAACCTAATTTCTTATGACTTAACGTCTAGTCATGATTACGTTTGTAATTATCACTTACTGTAGTTAATAGTGTTGTTAATTAAGCACGATTAAAATTTTCCTGTAGGATACAATTCTTCAAAGTACGCTGAATATACACATGTATTAGTGTTTAGTAATAATAATAGCAGTATTAGTGATAATAAATCCTCCGAAGAGAATCTCTTCATCAAATATCTTCGTATAAATTAAGTAATCATGTCAAGAAAACATT